ATTAACAATACCAGCTCTGCATGGGTTGATGTTCTCAGTGGTGTTCCTCAAGGTTCTGTTCTCGGCCCGCTCCTCTTCATTCTCTACACAAATGATCTCGCAAAACTCACTGAAACTTCTGAGATATTTGCCGATGATACTAAACTTTTTTCTAAAACCTTATCGCAATCTAATTTTGTTGATCTGCAGGATCGTCTACGCTTGGTATACGAGTGGTCAAACACTTGGTTACTTAAGCTAAACACTTCAAAATGCTGCGTCATTCATTACGGTCGAAACAACCCCCATTACAATTACTTTCTTCAAAATAACCAAGGAATCAACCAATCTCTAAGAAGCTCTACTAAAGAACGTGATTTAGGAGTCATTTTTACATCTAACCTCAAGTGGAGCGCTCATATTCAAACAGTTGTCTCTTAGTCCTTACAAATTCTCGGTATGCTGAAAAAGACATTCACTTTCATTGATGAAAAAATGGCTCTCAAATTATATAAAGTATTTATAAGATCACATCTTGAATATGGAGTGTCCATTTGGGCTCCTTTTTTAAAAGCTGATATGGCTTTGGTTGAATCTGTTCAACGCAAAGCTACAAAATGGGCTTACAGCTTGAGGCATCTTCAATACTGCGAAAGGCTAAAAAGATTAAACCTACCATCACTTGAGTTTCGACGCCTTCGATGCGATTTAATCCAAATTTTTAAATTAATACATCGTTTTGATATAGTTAATGATAAATATCTACCAAAATATATTAACTCCGTGTCTCGTGGTCACCATTCTAAAATAAGGCGTGAGTATGTTCTAAACTGTCTTCCAAGATATAATCATTTGTATAATAGATCAGCAAAATACTGGAACAATCTACCAGAGCAAATAACTTTGTACTCCACAGTACTTTCTTTCAAAAATAGACTAGACTCCTGGTTGTGGAAAAAGTTTGGAACAAATATTTATAAAACTGGTTGTTTATAGTGGGGTGTTTCCCCTGCTCGCTGTATGTGTACATTCTATGTAAATTTACGGCTACAACTATAATAATAATAATAATATAATCATATTAATTTAATATTAAATAATCATAAGTTGTCTTATAAACAGAAAATGCTTCGCTCTATGTTGACATGTACCCATGGTATCCTTTGAAACAATTAATTAGATCTTGACTCATGGCTAAGAAGTCATTGAATTTTTTTTATTCTTCTGTTTGTTATTTTTGCTGAAGAAGCTTAGAAGCAGTAGATCCTGGTTTGAAACGAACTCTGGACATATTTTCGCGTGAACTTCCTGGTTAAATGCACTTCTGCGGTGCTCTGTGACAAGACCGTTAGGTCTTCTTAGGAACAATTTGTCCATGATAGCACTTGTCATATTTTTGTAATCTTCAATATCTACTATTGTTAAAAAAAGAGCTCAAAAGGCTACCATCAAAAAAAGAGCTCAAAAAGCTACCATTTTACGATCTTTTATGAAAATTTAACGAAAAAATAAGATAAAGGTCGTTAAATTTAGGTCGTTTTCATCGTCTATTATTTACATATGATCCTTTTATTTGCACACTTTGAAAAAATACATAACAATAATAAAATGAAATAAAATAACGACTGAATTTCGTAAACTATAAATTTAAATAAAATAACGACTTAACAATCTTTGTAAATTAAAACAAAATTCTTGTTGTAACTTTATTACTTGCTAATGGATTTTTAAAAAAATGGAAAATTTGCGAAATTATGTAATAATACTCAAACTGTTTTTAATGTTAAAATTATTTTTTCCGCAGGTTTTATTTATCCATATAATAAACCGATTCTAATAAAAAAAAGACTAGTTAAATTTTTTTTGGAGAGATATGGCTATAAAATGTCACTTTTGATCCACTGTGCATTGGAAATATTTTTAATTGTACAATGTTATAACATTATATTAAATTTTTGTTACATAATATTTTTAGTTTATTAAATAGCTTTAAATGTAATATACAATTATAATATGTTGGTAGATGGCGGGGACGACTCCTTAAAAACTGTTTTCTATAAAAAAAAAAGGTCCTCAAAACTAAAAATCTGCCAACTTAAATGTGTCAAATGCCGACTAGCCGACCATATTCCTTCAAAAACCGACTATAAGTTAGAAATAGCCTTCTTTTTGAGGGGTGTATCACTCCTCTTAAAATCACCCCTGTAATACATAATATATATATATATATATATATATATATATATATATATATATATATATATATATATATATATATATATATATATATATATATATATATATATATATATATATATATATATACATATATATATATATATATATATATATATATATATATATATATATATATATATATATATATATATATATATATATATTATGTATTATATATATATATATATACATATATATATATATATATATATATATATATATATATATATATATATATATATATATATATATATATGTATATAAATATATATATATATATATA